GCTAAAATTTACACCATTTCGTGGAAGTGCTTATATCTTTTCTAAAAAGTTACTCATTTTGTGAAACTATTTATCTCGTCAGATTTATACTTTTTTTTCAAACATACACCTTTTGTGAAAGCCAAACTTAAGTCTTTTTCTGAAGTCAATTATATCTTTTGTGGAAAAAAAAAATTCATCGAATTTATAGATTTTGCCTAAACTTACACTTTGCCGTGAAAAAACTTACACCGTTGCTGAAAAGTTACTCCTTTTGCGAAAGAATTTTTGTCATACGATTTATACCTTTTTTAAACTTACACCTTTTCTGAAAGCCCAATTTAAACCTTTTTCTGAAGTCACTTATATCTTTTGTGAAAAAAAAATTGATGAAATTTACACATTTTGCCTCAACTTACTGCTTTTCGTGAAAAAACTTACACCGTTGCTGAAAAGTTACTCTTTTTGTGAAAGAATTTTTGGAATAAGATTTATACCTTTTATGAAACTTACACCTTTTCTGAAAGCCCAACTTAAACCTTTTTCTGAAGTCACTTACATCTTTTATGAAAAAAAAACATTCATATAATTTATATCTTTTGCTAAAATTTACACCTTTTCGTGGAAGTGCTTATATCTTTTCTGAAAAGTTACTCATTTTGTGAAATAATTTTGAAATTATTGTAAGTTCAAAAGGCGTAAGTGTTATGTGTAAGTTGTCAAAAAATTCAAAAGGCGTAAGTATTATGTGTAAGTTGGAAAAACAGATGGTGTAACTTTCAGAAAAGTTATAACTTGTTTTACAAAAGATGTAAGTATTATGTGTAAGTTGTCATTCACGTATGGTGTAACTTTCAGAAAAATATAACTTGTTTTACAAAAGATGTAAGTATTATGTGTAAGTGACAAAATTTTATGAAATACAAATTTTCACATATGGTGTAACTTTTAGAAAAGGTATAACTTGTTTTACAAAAGATATCAGTATCATGTGCAAGTTGTCATTCACCTATGGTGTAACTTCCAGAAAAGGTATAACTTATTTTACAAAAGATGTAAATTTTTTTACAACTTACACATAATACTTACACCTTTTATACTTACACTAATTTCAAAATCATTTCACAAAATGAGTAACTTTTCAGAAAAGATATAAGCACTTCCACGAAAAGGTGTAAATTTTAGCAAAAGATATAAATTTGATGAATTTTTTTTTTCACAAAAGATGTAAGTGACTTTTGAAAAAGGTTTAAGTTGGGCTTTCAGAAAAGGTGTAAGTTTCATAAAAGGTATAAATCTTATTACAAAAATTCTTTCACAAAAGGATAACTTTTCAGCAACGGTATAAGTTTTTTCACGAAAAACTGTAAGTTTAGGCAAAATGTGTAAATTTCATCAATTTTTTTTTTCCCCACAAAAGATACTTCTCACCGAAGGTTTAAGTATTTCAACGAAAATGTGTAAATTTTAAAAAATAAATTATTTCACAAATGTTTAACCTTCCACAAATAGTGTAAATGTTTTCACGAGAGATGTAAGTAACTTCGCAAAACCTGTACGTTCCTAAATCCAATCAAACTATATTTGTCTTCTTCAAATAATGGCAATGTGAGAGAGAAGGGCGTTTCGGAGGGCTTGGTCTTTCTCTCAGTTGAAGTCCGTTTCAGAGAAGACGAGTTTGGGAGGGCTTGGAATAGCGACTCCAAGTCCAAATCCAATGAAGAATGTCAATGTAAAAGAGAATCATTTTAAATATAGAGCAACGGACAGACAGAGAGAGATAGACTAAGATCAACAGACAGAGACCTAAATGGACAGTGATCGACAAAGACAGCCAGACCAAGATCGACAGAGAGGGACCGAATCGACAGAGACAGCCAGACCGAGATCGACAGAGAGGGACCGAATCGACAGAGACAGCCAGACCGAGATCGACAGAAAGGGACCGAATCGACAGAGAAGAGACCACATGGACACAGACAGATCAAGATCGCTGGAGACAGACCGAGAGAGACCGACATCGACGGCCGACATCGACAGAGACAGACCAAAATCGATAGCCAGAGAGAAAAAACCTTTGATTTGCGGCGGCGGTGGCCGTGGAAGTGGTCGTAGCCGTGGAGGCGGCGGTGGCCGTGGAGGTGGCGACGGCAGTGAGCACCGGAGGCCACCGACGCTCAGGTGGTCAGCGGGGGTCACGAACCCTTTGATTTGTTTAGTGGTTGTCCCAATTTGTTTATAAACACTTTGAAGTGTTACTCCTTTTGTGGTTATGAACACTTTGAAATGTTACTCCTTTTGTGTTTATGAACACTTTGAAATGTTACTTCTTTTGTGAAATTATTTTTTCCATAAAATTTATACTTTTTATTTAAATTTACACCTTCTGTGAAAACCAAACTTAAACATTTTTCTGAAGTCACTTATATATTTTGTGAAAAAAAAAATCATCAAATTTACACATTTCGCTAAAACTTACACCTTTTTGTGAAAACACTTACACCGCTACAACAAAGTTACTCCTTTTGTAAAAGAATTTTTGTCATAAGATTTATACCTTTTCTTGAAACTTATACTTTTTGTGAAAGCCAAACTTAAACATTTTTTTGAAGTCACTTATATATTTTGTGGGAAAAAAAAAATCATCAAATTTATACATTTTGCTAAAATTTGCACCTTTTTGTGAAAATACTTACACCGCTGCGGTAAAGTTACTCATTTTGTGAAAGAATTTTTGTCATAACATTTATACATTTTTTTGAAACTTACACCTTTTGTGAAAGCCAAACTTAAACATTTTTCTCAAGTTACTTATATATTTTGTGAAAAAAAAATTCATCAAATTTACACATTTTGCTAAAACTTACACCTTTTTGTGAAAATTCTTACACCGTGCTGAAAAGTTACTCCTTCAGTGAAAAAATTTTTGTCATAAGATTTATACCTTTTCTTGAAACATACACCTTTTGTGAAAGCCAAACTTAAACATTTTTCTCAAGTCACTTATATATTTTGTGAAAAAAAAAAATTCATCAAATTTACACATTTTCTAAAACTTACACCTTTTCGTGAAAATACTTACACCATGCCGGAAAAGTTACTCCTTTTGTGAAAGAATTTTTATCATAAGATTTATACATTTTCTTGAAACATATACCTTTTGTGAAAGCCCAACTTAAACCTTTTTCGGAAGTCACTTATATCTTTTGTGAAAAAAAAAATTGTCAAATTTATATCTTTTGCTAAAATTTATATGGTGTAACTTTCAGAAAAGGTATAACTTGTTTTACAAAAGATATAAGTATTATGTGTAAGTTGTCATTCACATATGCTGTAATTTTCAGAAAATGTATAACTTGTTTTAAAAAAGATGTAAGTATTATGAGTAAGTTGTCATTCACGTATGGTGTAACTTTTAGAAAAGTATAACTTGCTTTACAAAAGTTGTAAGTATTATGTGTAAGTTGTCAAAATGTTTTGAAATAAAATTTTTCACATATGGTGTAACTTTCAGAAAAGGTATAACTTGTTTTACAAAAAATGTAAGTATTATGTGTAAGTTGTCAAAATTTTATGAAATAAAATGTCCCACATATGGTGTAACTTTGACAAAAGGTATAACTTGTTTTACAAAAGATGTAAGTATTATGTGTAAGTTGTCAAAAGTTACGCATTTGGTGAGCAATTTTACAAAAGTTGTAAGTTGTCAGAAAAGTGTAAGAACTTTCACAAAAAAGTGTAAGTTCTCACAAAAGGTGTAAGTTTTCACAAACGGTGTAAATTTTCAAAAATCCCTTACGCCTTTTTTTGAAATTACTTAGGCCTTTTGTTAAATTTTACGTCTTCTGTGAAAATTTACACATTTTGTGAACACATTTTCTGACAAAATTACACTTTTAGTCATAGAATATATTCTTTTATTCATTTACCTGTTAAGCAGGTCACCAATGTGTTAGTTTTCAAATATTTGGGTATAACTCAATACTCAAAAAGGTGTAAAGGTAACATAGAAAGGTGTAAGTGCCTTGCATACCATATGCAAGGCACACTTAAGAAAAGTCCTTATTAAAATATCTAAAACAACTCTCTCTCTATCTCTCTCTCATATTCTTTTTAATCATCAGCCAATTATCTTTTTTATACATCACTAGGTTTTAAAAATAGATCTAAAAATTGAAATTTTATATTATTCTTCTTTTTTAAAATAAAATTAAAAATACAAACGGTTATATTATTTTGTGTGAAAACTTTGTTTAAAAAAAATATAATCAAACAAAATTTAATTACTAAATTTTGTATATCTTCGCTCTAAGAGTAGTGATACTATAATCTAAAAATTAGACTCACTTTTCAAATACAATGATAAGACAATTTATTAAAATATTTAAGGCAAATCTAGTCTTAAAGTTAGACCTACTTTGTATATTATTTCACACGTCACCAATATGTTTAAGTCAATAAATGAGTATTACCTCAGAGGGAAATTCTATGGTAGATATGTACCTTTAGTTATGTATAACCTTTGTATCTTTAGTTATGACTTATTGATCCTGGCTATGAATTATTGTGGTTATAATCAAGAGTTATTTGATTATAATGTCTGGTTATAATTTTTTTTTTTTTAAGTAGTTAGAACTCCCATGTTATTGAATTATATCACATGTGATAAGGTGGTGTGTACCATAGTATTACCCTCACATTTCATAGAGTTCTATAGTGATACATTGTTGACATTTCAAAAATGAATCAAAATGTAGTGAGAAGAGCAGATAATGGTTGTATGGCATCAGCAAATTGGAATATTATTAGATTCGGAGGGAGGGGGAAGGGTGGGGTAGTGTTCCCTCTTGTTCCCATTCTCACCTTTCACCACTCACCCTCACTCTCACTCTCACTCTAACTCTCACTCTCACCCTCACCCTCACAGTCTCTGCCAAAAATTTGTGAGCCGCTAATACAAACCTGAGGTGCCAGAGCAACGCAGGTAAACCTGCTTAACCACTCAATTCTTGCCATCTAAGAACACGTAGGTCCCCTCTACCCCCATAGTAGGATTTGAACACAACACCACCTGAACACTGCTACAAAAATGGCCAATTCTCTGACCATATATGTTTCTCAGAGACTCCATTCATTATTCTTAATTCCCACACCACACCTAGTTTTGCTTTGCTGCAGTGCAGAGACAAAGCTAGCTGATTATTCAGAGAGCTGGTCTGCTCTTCCTTCTAAACATCTCTTATCAGTTTATACTCTTCATTTTATACCCTTCTTTTCCTTTTGTAATTCCCCTGATATATATCTAAATTTATGCATCCACTGATTTATAGATTATGTTTTACTAATATCTAAGTTTCTGACTGCTTGCTATCTTCACAGAAGGAAGTGTCCTTTTCTTTATCATTCTGAGTTTTTGACTAGCATACCCAGAACTCGGAAGAACAAAATTTTCCACAATGGCCAGTGTGACTGCTTCTAATTTGGTGTCAAGAAGCAAAAGCATCAACTGTGGATCGACAGGTGGAATAGAGCCTAAAGCAAAGGTGGAGAGAATCGGTGGGTTGTTGAGGAACAAAATCCAGACTACTTATAATGGGCTAAGGTGTTTGAAAAATGTGGATGAACTGAATATAATGATGCCCAAGCCAATTAAATTGGCCATCAGGATAGCAAGGGGGAAAAGATTAATCCGTGGCAGGCCTCTGGGAATCATCGTGTGTGGAAGCGGGATGAATGTGATCTTTGCAGGATCAGAAGTAGGTCCATGGAGCAAAACAGGAGGACTTGGTGATGTTCTTGGTGGTCTCCCACCAGCCATGGCAGTTAAGTATTGTAGTATCCTATCTAAATTAGTATTATGAAGGAAAGAACTTATTTGTTTTACACATTTATTGTTTGAAGAGAGCATAACTTGCCACAAAAAATTTTGATTTTATTTTTCCTTCCTGATTTTAGGCCAATGGACATCGTGTTATGACGGTCTCTCCACGCTACGACCAGTACAGAGATGCATGGGATACAGATGTAGAAATTGAGGTACATTCTAATTTCTAGCCAATTAATCATCTTATATATAGCTATATATGAACATGCATTTCTCCATCAAAAGGCTTTATTTCCTCCCAAATTGTATTATTTAGGTAGCATTTTTATTATTAGATGGATACCTTTTGATATTGTAGCTCAGAGTAGGGGATAGGATGGAAAAAGTTCGCTTCTTCCATTGCTACAAGCGAGGCGTTGATCGTGTCTTCGTGGATCACCCCGTGTTTCTTGAAAAGGTTGGTTGTTCACGTGAATAGTTTATTTTCACTCTTGCTTTATGGATTGAACTGTCTTGAGTTATTATTATTATTATTATTATTATTATTATTATTTACATATGATTTTTGTAACCACTTGAAGGTCTGGGGAAAGACTGGATCAAAAATTTATGGACCTATCGCTGGTGAGGATTTCCTCGACAACCAATCTAGATTCAGCTTGCTATGCCAGGTAGATCTCTGTCCTAGCCAGTTGTTTTTACAGTCTCATTTTCACTCCTCTTCTATAAAAGGACACAAGTTCTTTTCAACAATGGAACACATCTCTACTGCTCATTATGACATTGTTTCCTTAAAAATTTGTATTTGTTATGGTTTTTAGGCAGCTTTGGAGGCGCCAAGAGTTCTGAATCTCAACAGCAATAAATACTTCTCCGGACCATATGGTGTGGATCTTCTATTTTGTTTCTTAAAAAAAAGAAGAAAGAAAATGGAATTTTTGCTAAAAATATGTCTGATGATTCTGTGTTCCTAGAATTATTGTTATTCAAGAGACTCGTTAATGCAGGGGATGATGTTGTGTTCATTGCCAATGATTGGCACACTGCTCTTATCCCGTGCTACCTCAAATCTATGTATAAACCGAGGGGGATATATACAAGTGCCAAAGTAAGATCTCGTATTTATTTTCCGTAAACAACTATTTGATAAATAAGTACATTTGATCAAACAGCAAATAGCTAAGAAGGTAAATTTTTCAGGTTGCCTTCTGCATTCACAACATCGCCTACCAAGGCAGATTCGCCTTCGCAGACTTTTCGCTCCTCAATCTCCCCGATTCTTTTAAAAGTTCTTTTGATTTTATTGATGGGTATAGGGTCTTTAAAGTGTTGAATACAGATGAGTTCTATATAATTCGTTTCTTGATCGATATGATTATTGTTCTGATTTTGCAGATATGATAAACCTGTCAAAGGAAGAAAAATTAATTGGATGAAAGCTGGAATATTAGAAACAGACAAAGTCTTGACAGTGAGTCCATACTATGCCAAAGAACTTATCTCTGGGGTAGAAAAAGGGGTGGAGTTGGATAACATCCTCTCCAAAACCGGCATTATGGGGATTGTGAATGGCATGGATGTTCAAGAGTGGAACCCCTTAACCGACAAATATATTACTGCCAAATATGATGCTTCAACTGTAACAACCTTCAAGACACTACTACTTTCCCTCCAATAGCATCATATTAATTACTTCTTGGATTTATATATTTTTAAATTTATTTGTTTATTAGGTAATGGAAGCAAAACCTCTTCTGAAAGAAGCCCTCCAAGCAGAAGTTGGATTGCCAGTGGATAGAAGTATTCCGGTCATAGGCTTCATTGGCAGGCTTGAAGAGCAAAAGGGTTCAGACATCCTTGTAGAAGCTATCCCTCAGTTTATAGATGAGAATGTTCAGATAGTGGTTCTTGTAAGTATGAAACCAGAAGGTTTGAATGTCTTGTCTATTCATCACTATTGCATGAAAGAAGCCTAGAATTCTCTCTTTTACCTTTATCTATAGGGGACAGGCAAGAAGGCAATGGAGAAGCAGCTTGTGGAATTAGAGAAAAACTACCCAAACAAAGCCCGAGGGGTGGCGAAATTCAATGTTCCATTGGCTCATATGATAATAGCCGGCGCTGATTTCATATTGGTTCCGAGTAGATTTGAGCCATGTGGTCTTATTCAGCTACATGGGATGCGCTATGGATCTGTGAGAACTTTACAATATCGGGAATTTTCCTTCTTTTATTCTAACTCAAAATCTGAATTTGTCAAAACTGTGACTTTCACACTGCAGATACCCATTGTTGCCTCAACTGGTGGGCTGGTTGACACTGTCAAAGAAGGCTTTACTGGGTTTCAGATGGGAGGCTTTAGTGTTGAAGTAATAACTCCCAACTTTTTTCTCTCTGCACAGACTGCTTTTGTTTCGGTTTTTTTGGAGACTTTCTTTCTATTAATTATTAATTAACGTCAAATTAAATTTATAATGTGGGATCATCCAGTGCGACACTGTTGATCCTGCAGATGTGACTGCAGTAGCAACAACTGTGAAACGGGCCCTTGCAACCTATGGCACTCCAGCTATTACTGAAATGATCAAGAACTGCATGGCTCAAGATCTTTCCTGGAAGGTAAGAGCAAACAAGAACCTAATATGTTGCTTATCTAGCTTTTAGAGATTTGATGGCGGGAATCCTACGCTCAGTTGTTTTTAGCAGAAAACGTGTTCTTACAAAAACATTTTCCGTGAAAAATGTTTTTGATGTTTGGTCATGACATTGAAATTAGTGTGGTAGTGCTTATACTAGTGGTGGTGGTGGCGGCGGCGGCAATAGAATGGTGGTAGTGACGGTGGTGGCAGTAGTAGTGGCGGCAATGGTGCTTTTTTAGCGGTGAAGTCAGGATTTTAACTCAGAAGGAGCATCACTGAATTAAAATCTTAACAAAATTCATAATCCAATTTAATTTAATTAACATTTTCCGTGAAAAATGTTTCTGATGTTTGGTCATGACATTGAAATTAGTGTGGTAGTGCTTATACTAGTGGTGGTGGTGGCGGCGGCGGCAATGGAATGGTGGTAGTGACGGTGGTGGCAGTAGTAGTGGCGGCAATGGTGCTTTTTTAGCGGTGAAGTCAGGATTTTAACTCAGAAGGAGCATCACTGAATTAAAATCTTAACAAAATTCATAATCCAATTTAATTTAATTTTTATTTGATAACAGAATTAAAAATTAGTGTGATGCAAAAATTATATTTAAGGATAAGCTCAAGTTAAGCAGTTAAATTATATAAAGATGCACACACAAAAAGTGATATAGCGAGGGATGGAGAAAGAAATAAAAGAAATGGCGAATAAATAATATATAGGGACCGCTATATATCATTTTTTTTTTTTCACCGCTTTGAATTACAAAATCACATGGCAATATATTATTAGTTATTATTAATTATGTAATAATTGTTTATAAACAAATAAACTAATTGTAAGTATTCATATAAGAGGTGATAGAAAATAAGTGATATATAACATTTCTCTAATATAAAATTTATAAGACACTTTTAACATAATTAAATATTTAAAGTGATAAATTAAACATATATATATATTTAAAAAAAAGTTAAAAAAAAATAGTGATATAAAAATTTCATAACATTACGTGAAAGGTTTAAATTAAAATAAATTTTTTTACAAGAGACAAAAGCATAATTTTCCAAAAGTTGAGGAGGGCACGTGACTCCCCTGGTGCTATTGGTTGTGGTGGTGGTAAGGCTTTTAGTTCGGCAAATATTTTTCACCTTTCAAAAAATGAAAAATATTTTCTGCCCAAATAAAAGTGTTTTTCATGGTACGTTGACTAACATTTTTCCAATAAATATTTCCAAAAAACAAATCACACAGGCAGGGCAGTAAAGAAGTAGCTAGTTTTTTTTAAAAATAGTTTATTATTATTGATGATGCAACTAACTATAGGAGAAAGGAATTCGAACAATTGATGGATGTTCTTTGTTGCTGACTTATTTTTAAACAATGTTTTTTTGTTTTTGTTTTGGCACTGCGCTGCACAGGGACCAGCCAAGAAGTGGGAGGAAGTGCTGCTAAATTTGGGGGTGGCAGGAAGCGAAGCTGGAATTGATGGTGAGGAGATTGCTCCTCTTGCTAAGGAAAATGTAGCCACACCCTGAGAGAGAGAGAGAGCCTAGCCTGACCCACCCTACCATCCTCCCTGCTGGAGGATTTTCCAGCCTCTATTTCGGTTGGCGTCAAAACACTAACAAAACAGTCAGGGAACTGTCAAGAGTCTCTCATTAGGAGCCCAAATTGTAAGCTTGTCTAAGTACAACTATTAGGATTCAACATATATAAGAAATAAGTTCAAACTACTTTTTTACAGATTATTTAGCTTTTCATAACTAATGTCCAATTTCAAGTAAGCAATTGTGTTCTCTTGTAAGAGATTCTTGAGAACCTTTCAAAACTTGGTGGCTCATTTTTGCTAGTGAAACATAGTGTAACAAGTAAATATACATCAAGCGAAAGTTTTGTTATTGCTGGTTACAAAGAGTTGGATTTCGATGGCATTTCTCATTTTTGGTGTGAGATCATTCATTGGACCAGCCTATCTGGAAATCAGGTTTGGTGAGATCATGCATATTATTATGTTCCAATTATTACTGCAAACATCTCAAAACCATGCTCCTTTTCCTCCTCTTTCATAACTTGTTTTTCATTAATTATTTCTAACCCAATTGAACCTTCAAGCAGAGCCTCAAATTCAAAATGCAATAAAACATATAAAAATCCTACACTCGACACAATTTAGAAGAGAATATTGAGTTTCTTTAGTGCCCGTGATACTGTCAAGCACCATGCTCTTACACATCCACTTTGATTCTTGGCTGTGTTTTGCTCACTTGGACAACCATAAAACACTTCACTTGCATGGTAATCTATCTAACACAAGTTAAACTCAACAATCCCTCATCCCAACCATTCAGTACTAGTTAAATGAATCTTGTGTACTCATCATCCCAAACATTTGGTACTAGTCACATGAATGTTTTCAGCTGTATTTCTCAGCAATCCATACAAAGACAGCAAACTTGGCATGGAAAATAGTGGTGTACAACATCAAATTTCAAGGTTCAACAGCAACAACAGTCAGTCTCACCAAGAGATTACAATTAACACATCCTAAAAGCCACAGAATTCATCCTTTCTGGCATTAAGCTAAAAGATGACTTAATCAATATAGTTAGTCATTGCCATCCTAATGTCAATCCAAGTTTTGCTTCAGGGTTGTCCTGTCCTACCACTATAGGCATCAAGTTACCAGAACAAAGATAGAGAAACACAACTGCTATTCCAAAAAACAAAATCCACCCACTATTGTTCTCTTAGGGCATGTTTGATTGGGTGGATTAGAGTATGAGATTGAAATTATTAATCCGTGGGCCCAATTATCCTATGCTTGTTTTAACATTTTGGTTTAGGATTATTAATCCAATGGATAATTAATCTAACAAATTTGTAGGATTATTAGTAATGGGATAGGGGTGACATTATTAATCCAATAAATATTAATCCAATTGGATAGTGAATACCACACTAATTCAATAAGATTATTAATACTTCACTATTAATCTTGTAAATCAAACATGATCTCAAGGGATAGACTACTGTTCTCTCAAGGGATGGACAGAGGAGACACTGCCTGGAATTGGTTTTAAGCTGTAAAAATTTCTATCTATCATGATCACTTACTCTCCATACATCATGGTAACGGAAACAAGTTCAAAACATCCAGCATCGTCAATATGCATTTCAATCCACACATCCACAACATCAAGACACAAAACAGTGAGAAATGCATCATACACGCGGACATACACAAAGCAATAAAATCAAGACAACAGATAAACAAGCACGAAAGCAAAAATGGATGGAAATGCTTTTTTATATCAACAAGAAGCTATTATAGATCAACTTCAAGAAGGTTCACAAAACTAAGCTCCATTGAAACTCGAACCAACATTACTATATATTTCTTACAAAGATAGAAAATACTGGCATTAGTTAGTGAGACTGCCTACTAATTTTGTGCGACAAGATTTTACTACCGAAACGAGCTCCTAATCAAACAAGCTAAATCCCAGATCCTCATCAGTATCTTCCTTGGGCTCTTTCTGTTGAAATCATTTAAATAAATAAATTTAATCAAAAAGGTATTTTGATATTCCCTTATTAAAAAAAGAGGATAAATTACCCTTTACCCCCTTTACCTCCTTTATGTGTGGCTACTTTCTCATTTTGGCCTTTAAAGTTTGTTTTTCTCACTTTCGGCTTTCCTGTTAGTCTTTTCAGTTAACTCCTAAAGTTAATTTTTGTTAAAAATTAGACAGAAAATGACACACTGACAGTAACATGACATAAAAATATTTTATTATATATAATCACATAAACTTAAATTCGAAGAAAATAATATATTTTTATATTATGTTATAACTATTATAATATTTTCTGTCTAATGTTAAATAAAAATTAACTTTAAAAATAAATTGACAAATATTTGAAACATAAAAAGTCCAAATAAAAAAAAAATAGTATACTTTTAAAAATCAAAGTGACCCAAAAAAACTACAAATCAATCAAAAACCTATTTTGATATTCTTTAAATAAAAAAAATTAAAAAAATTTAAAAAAAAAAACACGAATCAATCCTATTCTCTAGGCTATGTAAATGGAGAAGATTGGAGTAGGATTTTTTACCTTCTTCTCCTCGGGTGGTGGAGCAGCGGCGTCGGAGCCAGCAGAAGGAGCAGCAACGGCGACAGGAGCAGCGGCGCCGACAGAGGCAACGTTGATAATGAGATCATCGATGCTTTTCTTCTCAGCGAGCTTAGCGAACAAGTTCGGCCAGTAGGACTCCACAGACAAGTTCGCTGCTTTCAAAAGAGCACCAATCTTCTCCGCCTGTTTATATATCACATTGGGCCCGTTTGGTGTGACTGTTAAAACAACTTATAGATTATAACTTAATAGATTATAAATTATGACTTTAATGAGAAGTTGTTAATCTGTTTGGTGTAACTGTTGGATTATAGATTTAAGTTGCTGAGTAGTGTTTGTTAAATAAGCTGTGAAATAGCTTTTTCAATTAATTTTTATTTTTTGTTTGTCTACATTTCTCATAAAAAAAAAATAATAATCTATAATCCATTTAAGTCTTTTTCTATTTTTAAAAAAATAAAAAATAAAAAAATTTAAGTGTATAACCATAAATTAACATGTCCACAGCAGAAGCTGATAATCAGAAGCAAGGGATGAGCAGCTTCTCAGAATCAGCTTTTTTGAGTTAAAATAAGCTGTTAAAATCAGAAGCTGTTTGAAATAAGTTTAACCAAACAGTCCAAAATAACTTTTTTAAAGCTAAAAGTCATAAATTGACTCTGAAAAGCTGAAACAAACACCCCATTATCCATCTTTAAGGACAAACTAACGATGTACATTATATTTGTGACTATATATATATATAAAGAGAGAGAGAGAGGGAGAGAGAGAGAAGATGAGGTTTTGTGGGAGTATCGTCGAAGAGGATTAAAGAAGTGTATGTGCAAGCGGTTTCGCCAGTCGACATCGCTCCTGCAAACATATAAAGATCACCATTATCATCAAAATCTAACAAATATATTACTATTTACAATTAGAGAGGTAATGGAGGGCGAGCTACTATACTATTCGGTGAGAGAGAGAGAGAGAGAGGGAGAGTGATGGCATCTACAATTTCCTTGTGTTGCTGCTTCTTCTTTGGACTTTTTTCATATTAAGCCTCTTTTGCATCTTATTTTTTAAATTAGGCTTAGTTTGGATGGATTTCTCAAACTAAGTTAAAGAGTTATTACAAATCGCGCCGCCTAAAATTTGATGAATAGTGAAAACGCTATTGCAAAACGCGCTTTTAATTAAGAAATCGCTATTTCAAATCGCGTCTTTAACATAAAAAAATTTTCTGAATAAAACGCTATTTAAAATCGCGCTTTTACTGTAGATATAAATTTTTTTTTTTTTAGAAAACGTTATTTCAAATAACGTTTCTACTGTCGACACAAACCAAAATCAACCCACACTCTGACACACTCACACACCCACAGAATGAGGATCCTCTCCTTGCAGCTCTTGTACTTGCGCCCGTCCTTGAAGGCCTTCGGGTCTACTTTTAGGCCCAATTTTGATAATCCGAACCGTCATATTTTATGATTTATTCAGTATATCATACCTGTAAAAAATTAAATTGATCAGATATCAGAAAGTATGTGTTCGAAAAATTGAACTAAAAACTATTTTTTAAAGAATTTAATAAACAGTTTTTCGAACATATGCTTTCTGATATCCGATCAACTTGATTTTCTACAGGTATGATATACTGAATAAATCATAAAATATGAACGGTTCGAATTATTAAAATTGGGCCTAAAAGTAGACTCGAAAGCCTACAAGGACGAGCGCAAGTACGAAGCTGCAAGGAGAGAACCTTGGCTCACACCCACAACCAACACTCTGACACACTCACCTGATTATAATCAATTTATTTTATAAAGTAATCAATTTATTTTACAATCAATAATTTTTATTAATAATTTATTTTATAAAATAATTATTATATATTTATTAATAATTTATTTAAAGTAAATATATAAATATATAAAAATTATATATATAATACATACGTATTATATATATAATACATACGTATCAAAAATAATTTATTTAAAGTAAAAATTATTGTCATACGTATGTAAAAATCGATTATAAAAATTGCAAAAATTATTCAAAAATTATTACAGTAAATCCATCTTCACATTTAGATTATTTGTAATTTTTAAAATTGCAAAATATAATTTTCGTAAATATAAATCATTTTTTTACCCTTTATTTATAAAATAAAGGGTAAAAAAATTGTAAAAATTGTAAAAATTAAAAAAATTTTAAAAATTATAAAAATTATATAATTGATTATTATATATAAAATTTATATTATTTCAATGCTACAGTGTTGTGGGTGTGTGAGTGTGTCAGAGTGTGGGTTGGTTTTGGTTTGTGTTGACAGTAGAAACGTTATTTGAAATAACGTTTTCTAAAAAAAAAAAAAAAATTTATACGCACAGTGAAAGCGCGATTTAAAATAGCGTTTTTTTCAGAAAAAAATTTTTTATGCTAAAAGCGGGATTTGAAATAGCGATTTCTTAATTAAAACAGCGTTTTGTAATAGCGCTTTCACTATTCATCAAATTTTAGGCTCCAAACAGTGAAAACGCGATTTGTAATAGCGCTTTAGCCTAGTTTGGGAAATAAGATACAAAAAAGGCTTAATATGGGAAAAGCCCCTTCTTTTTTTGCTGCTTAGGTTTTGTGGGAGTCAGTTAGGGTTTTTAGGCCCGTTTGTTTTGAAAGGTAGAATTGAGGAGGGAAAGGTGGAGTTGAGGGGATTGACGGTGAGAGGATTGATATTGAAAGGGATTAAATAAAATTATGTTTGTTTTGATAACAGTTGTTAGTGTAAAGATTGTTAAATTATTTTTATATAAAATAATAAAATAAATAAAAAAATATAAAAACATTAAACATTAATGTTTTTTAAAAAAATGTTCAACATGTAAAAAATTTTAAAAAATAAAAATAAAATAAAAAAATTCGAAAAATAAATAAAAAATAAATAAAATAATGATTTTTACTTAACAAGAAATATAAAAAATTAAATATTAATGTTAAAAAAAATGCCCGACATGTAGAAAATAAAATAAAAAATTTATAGTCCGCTGGACTATTTTCTAATATCAAGTCCTTGAGGCCCCGTTTGTTTTGGGGTTAAATAGATGGAAGGGAATTAGGATGGAGGTATGGTTATTTAGTGTTGTGTTTGTTTGTAGAGTTGGGGAGGGAATTAGGATGGATGTGGGGTTATTTAGTGTTGTGTTTGTTTGTAGAGTTGGGGAGGGGATTAGGATAGAGGAAGTGATATAGATGGAGGTTGGAAGAGGGATTGAGATGGAGGAGGTGGAGGTGGAGGTGGAGATGGTATTAGAAAAATAGTGAAGGAATTAGAAATTTTTTATTTTTTTTATATTGGAATTTTTTTTTTAAAATATTAATGTTTAATTTTTTTATATATTTTTATTTATTTTATTATTTTATATAAAAATAATTTAACAATTCCTACACTAACAACTATCATCAAAACAAATACAATTTTACTTAATCCTCTCACTATCAATCCCCTCACTAACAATCCTCTCACTATTAATCATTTCATTATGAATCCCTTCCATTCTACCTCTGAAAAACAAACGGAGCCTGAGGCCCATCTGAATCCCTTTGGGGAGGCCCATGCTAATCCGGAGCTCACTATCAATCCTCTTCCCATCTCTCAAAACAAACACAATATTAATGAGTCTCATCTCACTACCAATCCTAATCCCTCCTTTAACTCTCCAAACAAACGGGGCCTTAAGGGTTTTGATTGAGAGAGATACTAGGCTTTTAAAGGGTAGACCGATTTATGTTTCACAGGGTCTCCAGCCCATATATATGACCCTCCCCACCCTATTCGCATGTTTTTACCAGACTCAATGGGAGTTGGGATGCCGGCTGTGCACCAGCATAGCAGATATTGTTGTGCAACTTTATAGGTTTATTTCAGAGTCTATTTTAATTATTTGAATCGTTCACATTTTCAAATATATTGAGTAGAATATATTTGTGAAAAATTAAATTAATTGGATATTGTTAACCCTTTCATCTACTCACATTTGTATTTATTTTAATACTTTAAATTACAATGATATTTATTTTTGAAGATACAAATGTAAGTAGATGAAAGGGTTAATGATATCCGATTAATTTAATTTTTTTATAGGTATATTCTATTCGATGTATTCTAAAATGTGAACGATTCGGATTATTAAAACGGACCTCGAAATAAACCCATAGGACCGCATAGCAATGCCTGATGTGCTGGGTGCACGTAGGAACTCCAAATCCAACTCGATGTAGGTTCCAAGGCAAAATGGGCATTTTCTCTTCATCATAAAATATTAGCTTCTTATTTTATAGTAATATTATTTTAATGGTGAGATACTATTTTGATAGAATCAAACACAAAAATTAGTGTGTCCAGACGACTGGTTAGACAGTTGTTCGGCCGGTCATTCGAACACACTAGTTTTTGTATTTGATTTTGTAAAAATGACGATTTTGTAAAAATATATTTGTCTTGCTTAGTGGGAGGTTTTGGCAACTGTTGGCACATATGGCAGCTACCATATGTGACCATTAGAGCACCACTTTTCTTCTTAGCTGCCAACAGGGACGGACGCAAGATTCTAATGTCGGAGGGGCGAGTGTATATGCAATCAAAAAATTTATAACGAGCATGCGATATACAATATCAATTTCTACCCAAATACCACAAAAATATATAATTAGATATTTCCATTCATCGTATATAATTACAAAATATTATCAAAATACAATTGGATATGTTTTAGTAAATCCATATTTATTTTCAAAAAACAACTATTTGCTTTACATATCTACTTAGGCATCTAAAGTTGTGCTCGACATCTTTTCATAATATAAAAAGCATCTATGATGGAATCTTCATTAAAATCTCGAGCAATGTCTTTCTCTACATATGTTAACAAGTAGCTTGAAAGAAAATTATCCTCCATCCTGTTGCGCAATCTAGTCTTTACAATTTTCATGGTTAAAAATGCACGTTCTGTTGTCATCGTAGAAACTGGTAAAGTTAGAATAAAACGAATTAATCTATTGACAAGAGGATAAATTGTTGATTTCCTTGTTTTTACCAACATTTGGCATAAGTCAGAAATTGTCAACAGCTGCTGAAACTCGGGATGTTTAAGGATGTCAATCTTGTAGTTTTGCAATTGGAATTTCAAATGTATTTTTTCTTGCTCTGTAAAGTCATTAGGATAAAATTGATTTATAAGCTTGCATATATCTTCAATTTTGAACAAACTGTAATCATCCCTAGGATCTAAAGCAAAGCTAAGAATAAGCAACTCCATCACATTTTCTTTGAATTTGTTGTTCAATTCTTGCTATTGAGAATCACATATAATTATAAAAATATCAACCTGAAAATGATGCTTAATAGTAATGTGATCTTTTTGGTGACAAGCACGACCTCTACCAGATGTGTAACGAGCACTCATATAAGGAATATCTATGTCATATTTTCAACAAAATAGTTGAACATTCTTTAACAAAGGAATCCATCAATCTTCTCTATATTTTTGAACAAGTACTTTTGTAGTTGACACTAGATGCATTGCATTCAATATATTTTGGGATTTATGTTGCAAAGCTTAGCAAAGATCATCAGTAGTCCACATAATATCTCTCATAAGATGTAAGATAAACACAAACTCAAAAGATGTAATCTTATCATAAACTCCATCTGCATCTACATGTTGAGTAGAGGTGGCTCCATCATCGATGACATTACTTAAGACTGAACAAGTTGCACTAAACATATTTATCAAACTAGAAATAGATCCCAAGTGAAAACCCCATTGAGTATCTCTAGCCTGTTTCAATGTCCCAACTTGATTTTTGCCTTTACCAGTTTCAACTTCATCAATGGCAAGTTTTGCTTCAATTTCTTTAGCTTGAGTAACTTTCAACTAATCATGCATGCCTTTTACAAGAAGAGCCACATAGATTAATAGTAAGAGCCAGGTAAGAAAAAAATTAGGCAAAGGGTATAACCTCTCTTGCTGTTGCTACCAATGCTAATTGAAGTCGATGAGCAAAACAATGAACATAATACACAAAATGACAGTCATGAAGAAATAAGGCTTGTAACCTAGTCCACTTTCCACGCATATTACTTGCACCTTCATGCCCTTGGCTACGAATATTTTGTACACTGAGATTATGACGAGATCGGACAATACATATTTCTTCTTTCAAAATTGCTGATGTTGTATCCAATACATGAACTATGTCAAAAAAATGCTCCTTTATAAAACCATCTTTATCAACAAATCTTAGAACAATAGCCATTTGCTCCCTCTTTGATTCATCTCAAGCTTCATCCACTATAATGCAAAATTTTGCTTCATCAATCTCCTCACGAATGAATCTTTATATTTTGTCAAAGAAAATACTAAGAATCTCTTTTTGAATTTGATACGAGTAGTAAGAAGCATTTTGAGGAGCTTTGTGTAACACATCTGCCACATCCGTATTATAAGATGCCAAAAGCATTATCAATTCAGTAACATTCCCTTGATTATTAGAATCATGACTTTCATTACGACCTCTAAATGCACAAGCTTGAAATGTAAGCCATTTGACAACATCTATCGTAGTCTTCAACCGCAAACATATTTTTGCAACTTGTTGAGAAGTTTGTTTTTCAACTATCTTCTCAATGTGTTGCGATTGATTAGTTAAATCATGGCAAGATTTAACAGAAATTTTGTGCGATGAATTAGGACCCTTTCCTATATGAGTTAAGAAAGCACAATTCTTCCCAATATTGACTTTCTTCCATAAAGAAAATTCATCAGAAATGAAAGCACTAGAAGTAGTGCATCTATTCGGTTTTGTAAAAAGATAGCAAGGAAGACAAAAGGCACAATGTTTGGTTGGAGAATATTCTAGCCAATTTGGAAATAACTTGTACCAAATAGTTAGAAAATGACGCCCATTCTTCTTTTCAAAAGGTTAGTTGTCAGGTTGGTATGGTCCAAAGTTGTTGTAAGCTCGTCAAATCTCATCACGTTGAGATATCAAGTAATCCCAAATTTGTGGTCGTAGTCCTGAATCCCTTACCAAAGAAGATGTATCAACTTCTTTGGATCTATTCTAGGCACTTTACGAGGACATTGTTCAGGAATTAAAGCTTCAACATTATCAGTGAACGGTTTTGTGGTTGCATTAACTTCTATATCTTGAGAGCCTCTTTTCTTAAAGAAGGAATTAATTTTTTTGTTCACCATAATTCAGCTAACATTCAACTCAATTTGATTTAAGAACCTGAAAATTATTAAACAATTTTTGTTACTCACTAGGTAAGAAGCACACTAAAAATATAATCTAATTTAACAAAGTACATGTCATTTTCAATGAGTAAACAATAAAAAAAATTAACATACAAGCAATAGGCCAATAGAAATGTAATACAAAAGTATAAATAGTTGACTGAGAATTACACAAATGGTTCCATTACTAGCATTACCAAGTTCATAGTCCAATCTTTTTTCCCCAAATAATAAACCCTAACTCTTCTTTGAGAGAGAGAAAGAGACGAAGATCATGGAGAGAGAGAGAGAGAGAGAGAGAGAGAGAGTACCGGAGTACTGCCGGAGGAATCACGATCCTGAACGCTGAAAGACTCATGACGCACAAGAGAGAGATTGTGTTTTGGGTCACTGGTTCTGATGATTTGGATTTACTGGTTGTGAAATAAGAGCGAGACGAAAAGCTTCTTTGTTTTGAATATATGATAACTACTCTAGGTAGGCTACTGTTGCCTACATATGATTGAGACTTGTATCTTCTTGAGTAATCATTTTTTTTTTTTATTTAGTTATAAGCAAACAACTAAAAAATTTGGGCCCTAATAAAGCAAAAAGGACTTTAACATAGTTACAGATAAATTCTCAATTATTTTAACATTACTAAATTTAAAATAAAAAAGTAATTATACTTAAAAAATAAATTATTACTATTATTATTTTTAGTATTTTTCAAAAAAGAAAATAAATTTTTAAATTTTAAAGTACAAAATTTAGGAGGTGGCAATTCTTAAATTTTTTGCAAAAACTTTGGGATGGCGAACCTATATAATTTAAAATTATTTGTAATTTTATTACTATATCTAGGGGTTTTTTTTCAAAACTTTGGGTGGCGGTCGCCCTTGCCATCCGCCCTCGGTCCATCCCTGGCTGCCAAATTATAGCTATAGTAGCTCTAATGACAAACCATCAGAGATGTTCTAAGTGTATCAACTAACACACTAAAGTCTCTAATAGAGATGTTAACTTTGTGCGGGTTTAAGTGTGTTATATGATTGCAGAGGAAAAAAATATGAGCCTAGGTCCAAATCTATTAAAATAAACAACCCCATTTCGTAGCTCGAAATGGCGTGGGTCGAAAGGTCCGAATTGCTTTGTACACCCACCCCTTTTCTTTGTACACCCACCCACCCTCTGTTCATCCCCTCCCTCTGGAAAACACACAAAAACACACACAGAGCTCCGTTCATCCCCTCCCTTTGGTGTCATTTTTTTTTTTTTTTCAAAAAAAAGAAAAATCAGAAGAGGAGGAGGAAGAAAGGAGGAGGAGGAGGAGGAGGAAGAAGGAGAAGGACTGGAGAGGGCCCAATTATTAGGGCTGGAGGCGGAGGCAAGGGGCGGAGGCACGATCAGGCGGAGGCGACGAGTTGCGAGCTGCGACGGTGAGCGGAGGCGACGAACGAGCTGCGAGCTGCGACGAGGACGGCGGGCGGAGGCGACGAGCTCTTCTCTCCTCTCCTCTCTCTTTCTCCCTCTCTCCTCTTCCCCTCTGTTCTCCTGTGTTCAACGAAGTTCAACGAAGAAGAAGAAGAAAATCGCAAAACGACATGATTTTCAAATTTCGGGCCATTCGACCCTCACCCATTTCGAGCTACCACCTATTTTTCTAAAATAAATCCAAAAAGAGAGGTGAGCCCAAAGTAATTCCTTAAGCTCATGAAAGACAACTGGCAATAGGTTGGTCCAAACTTAGGCGTGTAAAAGGCAATTAAACATAAAGATATCTTTATAGAAGGAAGATGGTAAGGAAAGGAGGATCATCAGATTGAGCTTCAATCCAACGAATGAGAATATATGTCAACGAATTCAGAAATGTAGGTTGGGCCTAGTGGAAAGCAATATCGTCCGATCAAAGTCATCTCAAGGCTGTGATGCCAAGCAAGTTGGTCATTAGCATTTGACGTGATCTTAGCCATCCATATGGTAAACATCTAACGATCAAGGAAGTAAGCAACTTGACAATTAGACTGGTCATTACTATATAAAGGCAGAACCCTCTGATCAAAAGATAAACGGACGAATAATATTTAAACTAAATAGTTATAAAAGGGTTAACAGGTAAGGCACTAAAGGCAAGCAAGAGGTAACTCAAAAGCCATCTTTTAAATACAAATTACATGATATTCTGTTCATATCAGATTATCTATCTTTAAGGACAAATTTGATCTTCCATTCAACAATGTACATTATATTTTTGTAAATTATTACACGAACAATTTCAAAGAGTTTGATACACAATTTCGGTCATAAAATCCTATTTGAAAAAACATGATTTCCAATGACTTATTTATATTTTCTAAACTACGATAAAAATAAAAATAAAAGATTGTTTGTTAAATAACTCTTTATCTTTCTCATAACGAGAATTGGGGCGGCACATATTGACTCTCTTGATTCGTAATTAATTTGGATATGCTACAAAGAGGGAAAGAACATGAAAAATAAATAAATGAATCAGAATTTTCAAATGTACTCAGTGGTCTTAAAAAGTTCATTTACAAATGTGTTATCTCAGAATCCAGATAAAGGTCGTTTATAGATTGGACAAATATCTACAATATCATGAAAGAGAGGAATAGACTTGCCTCATTTATTCTCTATCAAATCATCATCTACTGAGAGTTTTATCTGACCTTATGTTAGATAACATGCTTTAATCACAAGTGCAATTGTCCAAAGATGGCTTAGCCAATTTAAGTCCCACGAAACGGACTAGTGCTGCTACATAAGAAGCAACATTTCTTATAACTCATCCACATGCCATGATTTCAAAAATCACATCGAGCAAACCATTCACAGCTTTACTGGAGCAGGAGATCATGACGTTGGCTTGCAGGTAGTAAGTTTATTTTTTTGTTTGTGTGTGTGTGTGTGTGTGTGTGTGTGTGTGTGTGTGAGAGAGAGAGAGAGAGAGAGAGAGAGAGAGTGTGTGTGTGTGTGTGTGTGTGTGTGTGTGTGTGTGTGTGTGTGTGTGTGTGTGTGAGAGAGAGAGAGAGAGAGAGAGAGAGAGAATCTCCAAGAAACTGATTTGTTGTTTACTTGGTCCAATAATTATTGAAAAACCAATCAGTTGTTTTTTTTTCCCATTGTTCTGCAAATAGTGGTTGTAAAACATTGGTTGGAAAGTAACAGAGATGCATTCTTAACTAATGTACAAGAACAAATTGACTGCAACACATTGCAGTGAAAAATAATAAGAAAATAAATCTGAGGAAATCTGATACATTGAAAATGTTCCTGAGCTGATACACACACAAAAAGAAAAAGAAAAGAAAAGAAATAAGATGAAAAGAAAAAGGAAAAACTGCACCATACAAACCATCAAGACGGTCTCTTTACTTGCTTAAGCATTGCAGAGAAAAAGTCAGTAACAACCATGTCAGAACAGAGAGAAGTTACTAATGCATCCCAGACAGAATGTTCTGGTATCTTACCTTCGCTAACCATCTCCTCCAACCACATAACAGCTTTATATAGCCTACCTGTGACGCAAAGACCCTGGATAAGTGTATTATAGGTGGCAAGACTAGGCCAATATGATTTAATTAACATCCTTTCCAAAATCTGGCTAGCTTCCAGAAATCTACCATCATAACATAGACCATCAACTAAAATGGCGTAAGTCTCCTTGTCAGGAACGCAACCTACCTGCTTACCCATCTTCTCCAAATACTTAACAGCCAAATCAGATTTCCTTTCATAGCACAGTCCTTTTATTACAGTATTATATAACCCAACAGTGGGAACACAATTCCCGTCCACCATATCGCCTTCAATTACTTTTATTGCGTCATCAACCTGACCTTCCTTGCACAAAGCAGCTACCTTAGCTTCATAAATCACAATTGATGGTCTAAAGCCTTTATCATTCATTTCGTACAGTACTTTGTTAGCCTCAGTGACCTTACCTTCAGAGTAAAGATCAACAGCAATTGCACTGTAACAATCAGAGTTGGGAACCAAACCTTTGATCAAAGCTTCATGGATCAAAACCTTAACGCCTTGCATGTCCCCATCGCTATGGCACTGGTAAAGATCAAGATGTTTGCGGCATCGCTTAGGAGCCTTAAGACCTTTCCTTAGAACCTTGTCGAGAATGTCCACAGCTTCTTGGACCTGTCCATGGTCACATAAAGCATCTAATAGGGTTCTATAAACTACAATATCCTCACCACTGCCCTTCTGAGAGATTCTCCAAAACATGGAGTACAACAAATGGGTGGCCTCATTTAGCCTCCCATCTTCACACAAACCTCTCATCAGAATCCGATAAGTTTCTTTATCTGGATAACAGCACATATAATTCATTTCTTGGAAAGCTTGCAATGCAAGGTCAGAACGATTGCTCTGACAGAGAGCACCTATAAGTAAATTCAAAGAACGAGTCCGAGACTTCACTTCCCAACCATGAGAATTCTCTAAGAAAAGATGATGAGCGGTTTCTAGCTCAGATTCTTTGACCATTATTTGCAAAAGGGTATTGAAAGACTCTGTCCAATTTACACAATTGAATTGGGGAAGGCTTCTAAACAAAGAGATGGCTTCGTGCACCAACTCAGCTTTTGCATAGCTCTTGATTGCACTTGCAAAGACCAAATCTCTGCACTCACAGGAATCCTCTTTCATCTGGCAAATCACTTCTTTCATCTCAGCTGTTCGGCCTGAGCTTCCAAGGATGTTGATCATGGTGGCATAGACAGGACCGTTGTGATGGTAGTTGGGGAATTTGGATTTTGCTTCATTGAAGATTTGGAGAGCTGTCAATGGGTTTCTCTGGTTCCTAATTAGCTGAATGAGGTGCGAGGGGGTTAGAAGCCTTGGCCATACTATGTTCATGGTTCCAAATTTATTTAGCCTGCAGCTGAAACAAACAGGATGCCATATATGAACTATAGCCACGAAAATGATAAAAACAATTTTCCTGTGCTACTAAATGCTAATTGGGTAATAAAGTGTGTTCAATCCAACTATCTAAAAAACAACATCTCTCTCTATTTTAACAATTATTCATTCCAAGAATAAATACAAAGGCTATAACCCAAACACTATACCTAAAAGTGCTTCATCATTATTCAGTTTCCACATTGGCAATTCTTCAAACACCTACCATGCAAGCTCAGATTTGGGTTTTATTTTCAAAAACATACATACATAGATACATGGGTATGCATATATATATGTTGTTGGCGTTTGTGTATGAATTTGTGTTTGTATGTCTGCTATAGATATTCACCTGTTGGCAAGGGGATTCTCACTGTAAGTTAGGAGAATAATATAATAGGATTGACTTACCTACTGCAAACAATTACATAAGAATATGGCAGCTGCGAGCGCGTGCTTGATCTTCATGCCAGAGCGAGCGAGCTAGTGCAGCAGGCAGACATATGCTTCAAACCAAGTCCAACTGCTGTACATCGCTTCTTTTTTTATCAACAATTTTCTAACTCGTGCAACTTCAATTATGCAATAGTAACTTTTGAATAAAACTTGTTAAAAGGTAGTTTGGAAACTAAGGGTGAGCAGCGGATATATCGATCCGTTAAAATCGATCGAATCGAACTGATTCGCTGCATTTTCGATGGATGTGTGATGACGAGCGGATGGTTGCGGATTGATTTTCTCCAATCTGCCAATTTAGCGGACGGATGGCAGATTTGAGCTTCCTTTGGCCGCAACCGAACCGTCAAACCGCGAGCACCCTTAGTAATTTATAAGAATTTGTGTTTTCAATTTGTTTAAATATTTTGTTTTTGTTTTCAATTGAAAAAGAGTTCAAATATTCTGTTGAAAAAAAGTTTTCAACTTGGATATATTTTTTGAATTGAAAAAAATAAACATATTATTTATCTATATTGTTTGGTTTTTAAATCTAACTCTAAAAGTAATAAATAGAAAATATAACATATGCTGGTTGGTTTTTGTTTTCAAAAACATATATAAATATAAAAATACAGAGATATACAATCTCTACCATTGCTCTGCTCATGGTTTTGATGATTTGAATTGTTTTTATATTTTAAGAACCACAGATTGTAATATTTTATGTGGATGAGGCATGATTGTGATATTCTAAAGTTTCAAATTTTTTTTCTTTGGATGATGCACGCAGTAATTGTAATATTTTTTTAAGTCATTGACCGTAATAATTTTTTTTTTTTTTTTGAGGAAGTGCACAAGTTGAACTATGTTGAAAATTTACAAAATTTTAAACCGCCAAACCGATTTGCATCCATCCACCAAACAGCCAATCCGCTCAATCCACATCCGCCGGATTGGCGGACGGATGTGGATTGATTTTTTCCAATTCGTCAATCTAGCAGACGGATGGCGGATTGGAGGTTTCGTGGCCGCAACCGACCCGCGCCCACCTCTATTGGAAACATACTTTTTAGTGATTTTTTTTGTTTTTTTTTTCCTCTAAAATATATTTAAAAAAAATATGTAAAAAGTAGAGTGAATGGAAATGTGTTTTAATTTTTTTTTTTGTATATATTGATTTTTAATTTTTTTTAAGTGACTTTTAAACTAAAAAATTGAGTTTCCAAATGGAACTCAAGTGAAATTTTTAGTTGATTGGTGTTTAATAACTCTAGCATTGTAGGTGAGATAATAAATTGTTCAAAGAAAAATGTTTTATTCATATAATTTTTCTCTCACAAATCATCCGAATGATATGGTAAGAAAAGGACAAATTAATGATCCACCCTCGTACATCATTTCTTCTCTCAAAATCTTCCAGCCAACTTTGCCACATCATTCAAGGAGATTTGTAAAAGAGAAATTATGTAAATATAGCACTGTTGATCAGATCACATTTAAAAAAAAAAATGACAAATTTAATTTTAAAAATACATCATTCACTTTTTAAAATAAATATAATTTCATCATATGTTATCTACGGATATTTGATGGATCTAATATTTTATTGGGATGATCTCTCCAATCCAATTAAAGAGCCAAATCATTTTAAATATGAGGGCAGAAGTGCTATAATATGAATCTATGATGAGTAAAATGAATTATGCTACAAAAACCAATGAAGGTGACTTGTTTTATTTATTTATTTATTTTTAAAAAAAGGGGCAAACTATGTTTGTCCGTATGCTGTTTAGTTATGGTATCAATTTGATTTTTACTGTTTCAATTGCATTAAATTAATATAATTTAATTAATAATGTCCCACTAGAAATTTGATAGAATTTAAGAGGTAAAATAGTTCATTACTCTTTAATCAATGATTGACAATCAATTTGAAATAGTCTATTATCTTTTGAATGGATAATTTTTGACCTTATTTTTGTTTAATTTCTTAACAAACACAATTTATTAAAAATAAAATAAAATTAAAGAACAAAATTGATATAATTGAAACTATATAACCAAATTAACATGACAAACAAATTACAAGGAACACAGGGAAAAATTCCTAAAAAACAAACATTGAACATATACAAATCACTGATAACTATGATGGGAATGATAATATATATGAATATAGATGATATCCACTGTCATAGCTTTTTTATCCTAGTAAGAAAAAACATTTAAATACATTCCCTATGCATATTCTGTTACCAGCTTACCACTTCATCATGGTCATGTCAGGAGGAGATTACACGACCAACCCATCTTCCTTTCAAGGATTCTTCCAAGATCAGCCGCCCGATCTCTGTCCGGTCCTCCCCCACCTCTGCCAGCAACTCCTTCAGTTCCCTCACACTCATCCTTACCTTAATTCTTACACTATCACCACCATATCTGTGAGGTTGCGCAGCCTCAGGAGTACTAGTCTTTCCTTGAAGGTTTTGCAGCTGATCACTCTTCAAGAGCAGCTCATAGCCCAAAGGATGCTCCAACATGTTACCCATATTACAGCTTGTCAGTTTTCTTTATCTCTCCTTCTCTCTCTCTCTCTCTCTCTCTGTATATGACTGTATCTGGCTATCTATGCGTCTCTATGAATATGTATATATAGGTATGATTGCAGCAGAGGAACATTATTATGATTATTATATTTCCAGATAGATGTCGTTTATTACCCACGCTAACGCTGTATTTGGTTAAGATATTTTAAGAAAAGAAAATGAAAAAGGGGTGTGAAATTAGGTAAAATATAAATATATTTTTTATACATTTCACTTATTTTTTGCCTTTTCGTTTCTAAATTTCCTTTTAAATCTCTCAACCAAATATAGTATAATGATTTGTTTAATTTTATTATAACTAAGCAACTTTGGACAGCCTGCGGTATTCTCATCCTTAAAAAGTAATAGCATATGTTCTGTTTAGCTGTCAAAGAACACATAACAGAATTTTAATGAATGTGTGATTTTTTGGGTTACTCGCTCTTGTAGTCTTATACATTGATTGATGACTTAATATATGCCCATCGGCATCACTCAAATATTTTAACCTCTGTAAGGCAATTGTAATAATCTTAAAAAAAAACAGGACACTGGACAATCTAGTTGTAAATATCTATAAAATAATCAAATTAATATGATTCACAACCTGTTTTTCCAATGGAGTTTTTTTTTCTCTTTTTGTTCTCTTTGCTTAATTAATCAACTTTTGAACAGACCGGATCCGTTTTCTTATCCTTGTGAATAGTTCCTGTTTAGATGTCAGCAGCACAATACAGAATTTAAAGTTGCCTTTTATTTTTGGGAAAACTGCAAATACATGAAGCAATGGGAAAAAAAAAAATTACACTACAAATGAAAATTTTTTCGGTGTTATTCTAACACACAGAAAGAGTTGCGCCAAACAGATAAATGAATTTGTACCATGCATACAGGAAAGTTGTATCATTCTAAAAATGTAATTTTTTCTTACTACTCGACTGAAATGTAATTCCTTCTTTATTTTATTTTATAAAAACGTGTGAATTTTCTCCCTCTCTTCTTTTTTGTGTTTTTTTTTTCCCTCCCATTTTGGAACATCTGAGGCACGTATGTTTTGATGCCTTTTAACGCGTAGGTGACTCTGAAACTTGCCCTGACAAAAGTTAAACATGCTCACCCCTATATTAGAGTGACAAATATATAATAAAAGAAAGGCCTTGTTTGGTTTGTGTTAAATATTTTATCAGATTTTATTATTTTAATCATTATGTTGCATATCAAAACAAACAATTAAAAGGATGAATTATAGGGTTTTTTTTTTTTTTTTTAATAAGAAAAAGAAGTTGACAAAAGAACTAGTCAAAATGTGCCCCAAACTTTGGGCACAATGTTACGCAGTAAGAGGGAGTGGGAGTGGGGGTTTGAATCTTAGATTGCACCTGTGAGGCTCAAATGTCCCCAAAACACTTTGGGCAACCCACGCATATTCTCATTCTTATATATATCACCAGTAAGAGAAGATTGAGATTAAATTTATGTGGGACTCACAAATAGTGGATTTAATCATGATCATTCATGGGAGTTGGATTCGGACGATATTTTCATTTTTCTTCAATTTTTTATAAAAAAGAAAATTATATAGAATAATTTTTATGCAAAACACTCAGTCTTATGACTCAAAATTATACAATGACATTGACAATGTCCTATTACTCTGTTGAATTTTATTTATGAAAATTATATTTGTTGATCCTTTTTCATGTCTTATTGGTAAGGGCATCCCAAAATCTTAAGAGAAATTTAGATTCTTAAATTTATCTACATTGACGTGGCAAGAGAGATAGACCTTACACAATTGAGTATATAACAAATCAAAAATTAACATGTATCTTGTCACATTATTATCGATTAAATTGTGAGAGATTTTTTGAGGGTCTTAAATATTTTAAGGAAAAAAGAAGAGTAAAGATGGTTATTGTTCTTGAAATTAATTAGAACACGATTAGTGTTTAAGAGAGAGTTATGTGTAGGTCCTGATAAGTGGACCTATTGGACCTATTGAAATTATTGTCCAATAGGCCATGTGAGAATTAATGGTATTTTTCATCAAACACTATTAAAAAAATGTCACTAATTATTCATTTTTAGCGACAGTTTGAAAATTGTCACAAAATGTAACTTATAAGTTTTAGGGTCAGTTTAAAAAAATTGTTACAAAAAAATGTTACTGATGTTCAATTTTCAGCGACAATTTGAAAAATTTGTCACATAAAAAGCTCACTAATTATAAGTTTTAGGAATAATTTATAAAAATCGTGACAAAAAAAGTCACTAATTGTCAATTTTTAGTGATATATGCAAAAATCGTTACAAAAAATTATTTTTGAAGACGATTTTACTAAGACTTATTTTTAATAGAACTTGATGGAATTTAAATCTAATTATTGAGACCTATTGATAGTTTATCCAGTGTTTAAATGCTATGATCTCCAACGTATAAAAGGAAGAAGGGATTTGATAATGTGAATTTACTTTTAGAGGCTAGGTAATTGAACCGTTGTAAATTCAACTGAACTTGAAAGAAGAATGCCGAAATAGATTTTACATTTAAAGTATTTATCCTAATTATTTTTATG